TAGCAAAGGGACCCGATGGACATATATAAATCAAGCTCCTATAATCACAATGCTACTTGTAAACCAACAAGTCCGTCTCATGATTATAAAACTCTAGCGCTATTCCACTAAAAGCCTATAGCTGCACTCTCGATTTATATAGCGTATTTACAAAACTCTGATTAGCTCTTGTCCATGACTCAATATATTAGTGTATCATCCCCATAGGATATCCATAATCGACTTGAGGTCTAGTTTCGTTTTACCTTCCCGATTACATTTATCTTATGTTCCATTATCATACCATCGGAAAAATACTATTCATACCATTACAAACAGTAAACCATTAGATAACACATAGTAGTCTAATGGTTGAGCGCTCGTATTTTCCAATCCACTAATAATGCATAAGAGGATATTATTGACTCTTTACAGGAGCTATGGATTCCACTATCTATGAATAACGAATCTACGCATATACGAGTCATACCCCTAATGTACCGGCAAGCGTACCTTTACATAATGTCAGGATGTCTCCCTTTAGTACATCAAAGGATACAAGTCAAGCATACGGGTTCATCATCCATCTCAGGATTAAGATGACAACATATAATTCGTCAAAAGTGAATTGTTTTATTCAAACAGAATTATTAATTAAAACAATTCAACTTGGGTCCGATCCAATATAAATTTCACCATTAGAAACTATATCAATGTCTCCACCCATGGAGTCCCACCTCCGACGACCAAGACAAGCCGTCTTCGTTAGGAAGTAGACAACATAACAATCTTAACATGAATAAAGTGCCCAACTTTATTCCCTTGGTTGTGGATCATAAGATTTAGACTATCATCTTTAGATTCTTGTCTTCCGTATGTTCTTCACATTACATGCATGACCTAAAGATTTAGAATGACAGTCTCAGACTTTCAGTTTGCATATCATACATTCAACTATTATGAACATAAAGAGGACAATACATAGATATATGAAATAAATAAATCTTTATTAATAGTCAAAATGTCTCAAAGAATATTGTTACATTTATTCCTAAGGGCATAAACGCTAACACCTTCTTGCTCCTATGTTTTTTTTCTTCCACTTGTAATTTCTGTGTTTTTTGTCTGATTTTTCTAAGGAAATAACATCAGTTGGAAACAAAATTTAACATTTGGGTTTTAGGTTTCTAATGTTATCCGATTTGTTTGTTATTCACTTTTCATTTTCATTATATCTGCAAGTTCGGTTCTTAGTGTCATTTTTGTTAATAATAATTTTGTTCCATTTATTCTATATATTTCTAGAAAAAAAAGGTCGAAACTTTGAAGTGATTTGGTGGATTTTATGACTTGGATTAATCAATTTCTCAGAAAATCGACATCGTTTCCGACACAACATCGAGTTTGGATTTCAAATGAGGTGTGGTTTTAAAGTAAAATGATTTGAAATATTATGTTGGTTTTAAAAATATTTGGTATTCCTATTTGAATTCTTGTTTGGTATAACTATTTGATAATTCTTATCAAAAAGAGATTGTTTGATAAGATGGTTTGTCCTTAACTATAGTTTGTGAAATGGGGATTTCTCGTCGTTTCTAGTGTCACACACACACACACACACACACACATATATATATATATATGATTACTAATATATGCTTCATATTTAATTCTGTGAAATATTAGATACTAAAATCGCAATCTTTATTGACGTGGAAGAATTTAATTAATATAAAGATGTTGAGTCAAGTAATCCTTTTACGTTTTACTTATTTCTTAAAAAAATTTTATTTCATCTCCTTGTTGTTTATTTTGTTGTTCTAAACTTGATTTTGATGATTTTTTTTTTTATGTTTTCTTCTCAAGATTTGTCAAATTCTGTTGCAACACATGAGGGAGAAGTTGGGAATGAAGGTGCTATTATTCTGGATTAAACAATTTGGAGTGGATTAAATTTCTTATTTTGCGACTATATTTATATGGACTGTTTATCTTTATATGGACTGTTTATTCTGGATTAAACTGTTTATTTTATATGGACTATTTTGCTTCTCAAGATTTTATTCATCTCCTTGTTGTTTATGCTTTTGGACTGTT